CAAAAAGAGAGTTCGAAGTTGAAAATTTTTAGAAAACTGCCAAAAATCGCTGGAGGCTCACTGCTGTTTGAAACCCTGCCACCCAATAGAGCCAACATCGCTCTATATTAAACAACAACTACAGCGCTCTACAGGCACAGAGCGTAAAATGGCGAATTTTTGAAACAGAGCCTGCACAAGTTTTAAGAGACAGTTCCAGAAGCACGATTTAAAAAAATTTCCCAAGTTCACTCGGGAGTCCAAATTTATTTGAAACTCGGCTCAATAATAGAGCCAGCTTTTCTCTATACTTGTTTAAAATTTCAGCGCTCCACCTGCTTAGAGCTCAAGCGGGAGAACTGTTGAAACAGAGTCTGCCCACTGCATAAAGAGAGTTCGAAGTTGAAAATTTTTAGAAAACTGCCCAAAATCGCTGGAGGCTCACTGCTGTTTGAAACCGTGCCACCTAATAGAGGCAACATCGCTCTATATTAAACAACAACTACAGCGCTCTATACGCACAGAGCGTAAAAGAGCGAATTTTGAAACACTGGCTGCACAACTTTTAGGAGGCAGTTACAGATGCGATTTTTGAAAAAATTGCCCAAGTTCACCCGAGTCCAGTGGAAATTTAAAACTCGGTGCAATTAGAGTGTCGGGTTTGCTCTATATTTACCTAAAATATCAGCGCTCTACCTGCTTATAGCGCAAACGGGCAAATTTTTGAAACAGAGCCTGCACCCTGCCTGAAAGGAGTTCGAAATTAAATTTATTTAGAAAACTCCCAAAAATCACTCAAATTCAGTAGCGGTTTGAAAACCCTGCTACCTGATAGAGGCAATATTGCCCTATATTTAGCACCAATTAGAGCGCCGTACTTGCATAGAGCGTAAAAGAGCGAATTTTTGAAACAGAGCCTGCACAAGTTTTAAGAGACAGTTCCAAATGCATGATTTAAAAAATTGCCCAAGTTCACTCGAGAGTACAAATTTATTTGAAACTCGGTTCAATAATAGAGCCAGCTTTTCTCTATACTTATGTAAAATTTCAGCGCTCTACCTGCTTAGAGCTCAAGCCGGAGAACTGTTAAAACAAAGTCTGCCCACTGCATGAAGAGAGTTCGAAGTTGAAAATTTTTAGAAAACTGCCAAAAATCGCTGGAGGCTCACTGCTGTTTGAAACCGTGCCACCTAATAGAGCCAACATCGCTCTATATTAAACAACAACTACAGCGCTCTATACGCACAGAGCGTAAAATAGCGAATTTATGAAACAGAGGCTGCACAACTTTTGGGAGGCCGTTACAGAAGCGATTTTTGAAAAAATTGCCCAAGTTCACCCGAGTCCAGTAGAGATTTAAAACTCGGTGCAATTAGAGTGTCGGGTTTGCTCTATATTTATCTAAAATATCAGCGCTCTACCTGCTTATAGCGCAAACGGGC